CAGCTGGTACCATATGTCAAATTCGGAAAGCTCTATGGGCCATTTGATTATGCACCCTGAGGTCTCGGGCTTGGCGAGGACAGCTCTGAGGGGCTGGTTTGTTAACACCATAATGGTGTGAGCTTGGAAGTAAGGCCTAAGCTTTCAGGATGAAACCATGAGAGTGAAGGCCAGCTTCTCTACGTCGGGATATCAGGTTTCGGTGTCGCATAGTACTTTGCTGACATAGTATATCGGTTTTTGTGCTCCATTTTCTCTGATCAGGACTGAGCTGACTGGTTCGTCCCCGGCTGACAGGTAAAGATATAGAGTTTCTCCTGGTACCGGGTGGGCCAGGAGGGGAGGCAAGGCGAGGTACTCCTTGAGTTTGTCGAAAGATCGTTGACATTCCCTCATCCAGTACAAGTCCTTCAGCTTCTTGATGGCTCGAAAGAAGGGAAGGCAACGATCAGTTGACTTTGACATGAAGCGGTTGAGCGCTGCCACACGACCGGTGAGCTTTTGGGTTTCCTTCACCGACCGAGAAGGCTCCTTGTCCAGTTTGGCTTATATTTTCTCAGGGTTGGCCTCGATACCTCGTAGAGTGACGGTGAAGCCTAAAAACTTGTCCCAATTGACGTTGAAGGCACACTTGTTGGTGTTCAGCTTCATATAAAACATCTACATAGTGTCGAAGGTCTCGGCCAGGTCCGAGGTGTGGGCCTCGGCTTTCAGGCTCTTCACCACTATATCATCTACATAGGCCTCAACATTCCTCCCCATCTGATCCTTGAACACTTTGTTCACAAGACAACGGTAGGTAGCTCCTACGTTTTAAAGCCCGAAGGGCATCACCTTTTAGCTGTATGTGCCATGTTCAGTGATGATCGAGGTCTTCTCTTTGTCTTCAGTGTGCATCTTTATCTGATTGTTTCCGGAGAAGGCATCCATTAAGCTAAGTAGTTCATATCTTGCAGTGGAATTGACAAGGTGGTCTATTCTTGGCAAGGGGGAACTGTCTTTGGGACAGGCTCGGTTGAGGTCTATGAAGTCAATACAGCTTCGCCATTTCCCCTTAGCTTTCTTAACCAAAACAACATTTGATAGCCAATTAGGATAGTATACCTCTCAGATGAATCTGACGTCCAGTAGCTTGTGAGTAATGACCAAAGGGTCAATTCTGTGCATTTCAGCGGCAGACCAAGCAAAGACGTTGGCGTTAGTTTTCTCGGGGGAAGGTTGGACCCGACATGAATAGTCTTCTCGGGCTTGTCCTCATCCATGGGAACTGAGACGAGATCCTCGGCCGGTTGGCCTCGGCTCACCGACTCCTCCCTGAGGTCAAGGCTTCTTTCTTCTTTCCTTTCAGCGCTGCCACATAGCACAGGCGGGCAACATACTAATCCCCCCGAACGACTCTGACGCCGTGCTTGGTTAGGAATTTGAGGGCAAGGTGATAGGAATACATGGCGGTTCGCAATGCATGAAAATTCGTTCTCCCCGTGATTGCATTGTATAGGGAGCCAATCCTCATGATAAGGAACTCCGTCATCCTCGTCACTTGCTGAGGCTCAGTTCCCACTGTGATTGGTAGGATGATCTTTCCTTTTGGCCTAACAACATTGTCGGAGAAGCCGACAAATGGGACGTCGGCAGGCCGAAGGCGCTCTGGCTCTATCTTCATCTTTTCAAAAGCATCGTAGAAAAGGATATCTGCTGAGGCGCCACTATCGACGAGAATCCTCTTGACTAGGAAGTTTGCCACTATGGCCTAAACTACCAAGGCATCATCATGGGGGACTATAATCCCATTAATGTCCTCGTTCGTGAAGGAGAGGTCCTCGTGTTGCTTTGGCCTCTTGGGGGATGGCCCTCGGATGCTCAACTGCCTGACGTAGGCCTTGCAGATCGAAGCCGAGGCTCCCCCTGAGGCCGAGCCCCCGAGGATGACGTCGATGACTCTGACGACCTATTGCTATTGCTGTTGATGTTGCTACTGGTGCTGGAAGGACGAAGCTTCAGCTTCGCCTCCGACGTACTACGTTAGGTATCCACGGCGGATGAGAGACTATCTCATTTTTTTAACTCGTAGCAGTCCTCGGTATCGTGGTCCATGCCACAATGAAACTTGTTGTACTTTTTAGGGTTCTCCCTCTTGGAGTTTCTCTTCATCTTTTCTGGCCACTTTACAAACTTCTCCTCGCCTATTTGCTTTAGGATTTGGGTCTAGGAGGAGTTGAATGGCATATATTGGCTGTAGGCCATGGCTGAGGCCGACGACTTCCTGCTATCTTTGCCACCATCAACACGACAATCTTCGTTCTTCCTTTTCTTTCCGGAGGGCCCACTGTTGTGTTCGGTTTCCTTGTCCTGATGGTCCTCAGCAGAATTCTCCTCGGCCACAATGTACTTTTGAGCCTTTTTTAGGAACTCTAGCTTCGTCTTCGGCGGGGTCTTGGCGACTAAATACTTGAGGGCGGAGCCAGCTCGGAGTCTGTTGATGGTGGCGTTCATTGATACCATGGGATCGAGGTCCCTGACCTCAAGCTCTTCTTTGTCAAAGCGATCAACGTAAAACCGCAAGCTTTCGCCTGGATTCTATTTTATGGACATGAATGGAGACGACACTCTTTTTGCATTGACTGCTGCTAATGAAGCGGGTGAGAAACATATTGGCGAACTGCTTCCAAGAACTAATTGACCTCGGGGAGAGGCTAGAGAACTAGCGGCGCACTGCCCCCTTGAAGGTGGCCTAGAAAGTTCGGCACGTCAAGGTGTCGGAATACCCGTAGAGTATCATGAATGCTTGGAAACTAGTTGAGGCATCGTACATCTCCAAAGTAGGAGCCTTGAAGTGTAGGGGGAGAGGCTCCGAAATAATTTCCAGGGTGAATGCGTCCATGCGGCCAGCGGAGTTGCCATGACTAGTTGAGGCGTCGGCTTGGCTCTCCTTAACCTAGTGGAGCTCGTCCTTAACTGCCCCGATTTCGGCTCGCAACTCGACAAGCCCTGGGTCAACAGGGGCATGGGCCCCCGCTTCTATCTTCATGGACTCAGTGAGTGTCAGCTTGGACTCCCGAGTACTCCGAGACCGGGTCACGTGCCCCCCTACGGGCACACCAATCATTTAGAATGCCCTAGAGATCCGAGACGAGATGTGGAGTGGCGTGGCATCGACTCTTGCCTCGGGAGCGAACTCCAGGGCGACCGAGATGCCTGTCATCGTCCCTGGGGACTTCCCTCCGGCGCAATGGTGTTGCTCCAAAGGCTGGTGACTATCTTCGGATTGAGCGGGCACCTCTTCCCTTCAGCTGGGAGGACGGATATTTCTTCCTGGTGATGCAGGGGGCAGTTATTGCCCGACTCCGATGGTTCGACCAGCAAGTTGTTGCCCTGGCTGAGGGCTGGGGGCTCGACATGTTTGTGTCGGCCCTGATCCTCTGACACCCCAGTGGGGCGGTCGCCTTGAGAGGGACCTCTTGCTCGGGGGTAGACTTCTTCCATGCGTTGAGTAAGGCGGTCCAAATGATCGAGGACAGCTTAAAACTGTTCATAGGTGACCAGGTTTTGATTATTCCTGATTCTCCGCACCATGGCTTCCGAGCTTAGCAGGAAGTAAAGGTATTTTTTATCTTAAAAGGGGGTCATCTTAGCAACGTTTCCCATAGACGACGCCAATTGTTGCCACACGGATTAGCCGGGGGCAACGAGGTAAATTTGCTCTCCAAGTTCTGATGGTAGGCCGAAGACTCTGAGGCCTCGAAGGGGTAAGCCGAGGTCAAAGACTGTTGTTTGAGGCAATGTATTCCTTTCGAGGACCATAGAAGCTGAGGACTGTAGGTCATCGCCTCGGTGGCGAGGTTCCTGGAGATCCAAGATACTACAAGGCAAGAAGTGTTAGAGGCCTCGGGTGGAGACCCAAGGCGGAGGCTCCAACGCTCAAGTTAGTATGAGGTGTAAAGTAAGAGGAGGTGCAAACGAGGTCTTGGTGATAGTCATCGGATGCACCGGGTCCCAGGAGTAAATGCTAAGGAAGCAATGTAGGTGCGGAAAGTAAATGAAGGAGCTATGTCAGAAACCCAAGTTCTAAATCCCCCAATAAGGGAGAGTTACCTCTTATTTTTACTTGAGTGGGCTGGAAGTAGGTGAAGATGAACACACCAGATGAGGGCCATACGAGGTTAGGCGGTAGGCCCTGGCGGGTACGTCTGACCACCCTACAGTTGGCTCCGTGTGAAGACAACAGGGCTTCCCCCTGCTGTGGCTGGTGCTGTCAGATGTTAGTGGGCTAGGCCTCCCAACTCACAATGGGCTGGGCCTGGCTAGCCCACATCACAAAATAATACAAAATATAAGGTTTTGCACTCTACATATTTGCATTTATACTCCTTCCAAATTGAGCCTCAACAAAAAATACAAGTTCAAAGCAAATCGCGTTAATGTAATTGATGGTATGAAATTTATTACTTATTATACGAAAACTATGTGTGGATAAAGTTATTTTTTGTTGGGACGTAGAAAATAGAATTGAGTCAAAAAGCATTTTGAATATTTTGGAACAAATTACTTTTGAAAACTTTATATATAAATAATCTGAAGCGCTTCGAAACCAACCAAAAGACTTTTGAAGCTCCAGTTTCTTTCGCCTATCTTGTCCAAATTCCAAACACGGCCTAAATGAAGTGAAGCTGCTGACAATGAAACAGGGATTGTGACTTTCCACATCAATATCATCACATAATGACATTTAACAAACACCACCACATTACTTATCAGTAATTACAAAACATGTAACAGCAATTATATTGAAGATATATAGGACGGTTTTGTAAATAAAATGGGTTATCATCGATCTGATCAACTCCGCCCGATGTTTTGTAACCGACAAGAAAATACGTACAAGGGACTTCCGGCGTTGGAATTAAACTAAAACCATCAAACTCCACTCCCAATCAACCAGACCAGACCGGGTCTTCACATTTCTGGAGACGAACTTCACGTCTTCACAGGCCTGCTACTTATAAATAATCAACCTCAGACTTCTCAACTTCATGCACTTACCCATTTTCAAAAACGCTAACACCTTCATTCATATATAGATAAATTTATTGTCACATTAATTCTTTCTCGGCATTCTGCTTCTATCATGGCGAAAAATGTGGCTCATTCCCCTCTAGAGAGAAATAGTCTGGCTTCACTGGACCAGAAACTTTCCATGGCGAAGCGTTGTGGTCTTGGTATTTGATCTCTCTTTCTCTCCATCTCTAGCTTCTCTCTCTCTCTCTCTCTCTTCGATCAGTAATTAACTTGATTAGTCTTACAATAGAGGGCGTTGTCGCCGGGGCAAAAGCGGCCGTTGTGGCGACTATTGCTACTGCAATTCCTACTGTAAGTCCGATCACCATGTGCATTATGTATATTTCTTCAGACCCATTCATCTCTATCTAAAGTACATAATTGAAAGGGCCGGCATTGTTTACATAACCAGCCTGTCTGTTTCTGTTCTGCTGCTACACATGCAGTTTGCTAGTGTGAGGTCGCTTCCTTGGGCCAGAGCTAACCTCAACCCCACCGCTCAAGCTCTCATCATCTCTACAGGTTTAATTACTCTAGTATTATCTTCTTCTTCTTCTCCTTGTTTGATAATAATTTCTTTTTGTTAATGAAATTTATTATTTATTTGTATGGCAGTGGCCGGTTCAGCATACTTTATAGTTGCAGACAAGACTGTTTTGGCCACTGCAAGGAGGAACTCATTCAAGGGATACCAACCCTGACTTAGCTTTGTGGTTGGAAGCTTGGAGTCGAAACGTCTTCCAGATTTTCTCTCTTTTACTTGGTTAGATTAGAAAATTGTAACGGGTTGCTTTGTTGCATGTAAATCTAAGGTCTATGTAATGGGTTTCACATTTTGCAATGTTATCACTACTCTGTATTATCTTCTATTACATATTAATTCCAACAAAGGGACGACGTGTTTGTAACGGCTTATTTAAGAAGGGGTTTTGATCTTTGAAACAGATGACATACGGTAACTTGGAGGCCCTCAGGTCGATCCGGCCAGAAGTGCCCTATATATGTTGAACCAGAATCAAGACGTACCCTCTCCTAAACAAATTAACCAAGAAAAAAAAATGGCTGGACTTGGAATTGTGTGATTTTCACCTGAAAGGCTTATTTTTGTCTTAAAAACATGGTTTCTTAAATACAATAAATGAAAGAGGAGATGGGGAAGTCATTGATAATTGATATCAGTACGGCTGCAAACAGATCGGATCGAATTCGGCACATCCTATGCAATAAGAATCCAAGACATCCTACAAGACAAGTAGTGGGAAGAACTAGCCATACCCTTAGACTGTGTTTGGTTTGAAGGAAAAAATAGGGAAAGGTAACCAAACATAGCTTTCGCTAGAGAAGGCAATCGTGTTGAAGACACCCTTGTTAATCATTCCTGTGACATTAAGGCCCCTTTTGTTTTTTGATAAATAATTTATCCGGGTAAATGCAATTATTTGGGTAAGTTTTTATGGGAAATACTTACCGGCTGGGTAAGTACATTTATCCATGTTCTTTTATTTCCTATATAAATAAGGCAACTATCATTTTAATCATAGAAAATCTATTATTAAAATGGGTATTTTTGTCTCATTCAAGTGTTGACAACTTTTTCCTATCACTTTCTTGGATATCCAAGAAAATAAAATTTCCCTGGTTCCCACACAAATAAAGCTGAAAAAAAAAATATGGGATTCCTGATCAATGAGAACCAAAATCTCATTGACCAACTTTCTCCTCTCTCAAAATTCAAAAAAAAAAAACGTCCCCTCAGAACATGTTTTGGCTCCCTTCCCTTCCCTCCTCCGAGAGTTAAAAGCGTGTGTGAAAAGTTAAGATCCCTTCCCTCCTCCGAGAATTAAAAGTGTGTGTGATAAGTCAAGATAGGTATTCCGTGGATCTGTATTAAATGAATGTATCTTTTTGTTTATTATGGGTAGGGTAGTGATTTTGGCTTGATTGCTTAGGGCTTGGGGCAAGGTGGGTTAAATCCTCCCCTACATCTTTTTTTTTTTTAACTTGATTTGGATAAATAAAACTTTTAGGTGGCAAATATATATACACTATAAACAAAAACTTAATTTAACTAAACCCCAGTTCCCACTTAATTCTAAAGAATTTTAATACTAAAAAACGATATATGCACACTACATACAAATATATAATTACATTGGATCTCAGGTCAAGCAATATCCTAATTTGATCAAATTATTAAATAAAGCAAATTTTAAGATCCAATTCAATCCGTTTATGGGGAAATGGATTTTCAGTTCAAATTTGGATTAAATTCAATCCATTCGCAACCAATGCTGTCCTTATTATTATTATTAAAACCTAACAGAAAAATAATTTCATTCATAAAATACTTAAATTACAATATGGAAACTAAATTTGCTCCTCACAAAGCACTTCTCATACCAACCTCATAATGCATTGCAGTTGCACATTGAGAACATCTCCCAATACTTGTATATGTTGTAATTGATGGCCATAGGGAGATGTTTCCAGTGCACGCTGAATGTTCTATGAGGTTAGTGGGAGGAGTGCTCTCTACTCTATGAGAGGAATAAATAGCAAGAAAGTGAAAAAAAGACAATAACATACTAACTAAGGGTGTTTTAGCCAAGGTCATGAGTTCATCAGTCATAACATCACATTGCATCAATATCATTATATTAATTGATTAAACAAAAATAAATTATATATATATAATTATTATTATTGATGATGGAAATAACAAAGAATTAATATCTCACCCATAGTGCCATAACCAAGTACTGACCGGGTTAAAGAATTCATCTGGCTGTGTCATTCGATTATTGAGCAAGTCAAATTTCTTTTTCAATTTTTGTACAAGATGTTATTGGGTGAGATAGTTTGACTGATATGATATTGGCCGCTTCAATCTAATTCCCTTTCTTTGCGATGTGAATGTCGATAAGCCCTATTTGCATCACCATGATGATTGAAGGCATATGACAACATAAAGCAGGCATCTCGGGACTGGAATTTTTTAGCTAAGGTGTAATTGGTTAGTCTTTTATAAAACTTGATAGCCAAAAGATATATGAGTTTTTGTATTAAGATTTTAGCAGTTAGAATACCGTTTGGTTAAACCGTGTCTTTTTGTATGAAAATGTAATAATAAAAGTCAAAAAACTTCATTTAAAACTTCTCAAATTTTCGTACATTTTTTCAGAACGTCATCTTTTGGCGATTAGATCTTTTCTCAGTTAAATGAAAAAAGACATGTCAAACAGAGCCTAACTGTTTGACATCACAAGTTTTCTCCTTTATGCTTCACATACAGCTGGTTAGTGTGAGAATGCTGCTTTGGGCTAGAGCTAACCTCAATCCCACTGCTCAAGCTCTCATCATCTCTACAGGTTTCTTTTTGTTCTTCTTCTTCTTGAGAATAATTTGTGTTTAATTTCTAACTGAATTTGTTAATTTGATGGCAGTGGCTGGTTCGGCATATTTTGTAGTTGCAGACAAGACTGTTTTGGCCACTGCAAGAAAGAATTCATTCAAGGACCATGGTAACATTGAATCCTAGCTTTGGAGTTGAAACCGTGGGTTCACGAGTCGGCTTCCCGATCGATTTTGTTTTTGACTTTCTTTGTTTCTGTTGTACGTAAATCCAAAGTTTATATCCATATACACATACAATCAAGAACCGTAAATATCAAGGATTAACCATCGTTAATTAAGAACCTAATGCTAGCATTGACCCATTTGTGCAATCTAATAATCTATTAAACACCAAGCTTGGTTTTCTTAATACTGTTTGACGTTAACCATTTTAGAACATGCTGTGAAAAATCCAAAAAATACAGATTTTTTTTTACTCTTAAAGGCAAGTTCATTCAGTTACATGGTAGAAAAAATTGACATCAATGAAAAATACAACCAAAAAAGCATGTTAAGCATGTTGAGACAAAAAATAGGTAACCACAAGCATCAGGACGATTTGAGAAATCTCTGCAACTAACGTAAAGTTAAGTAACGCTAAAAAGTTCAGCTAAGTGCCTCCAATAGAGATGAAACCAGCAAGTGTGTCTCTCTATCAAATGAGTCCAGATCAATTACGTAAAACCCTCAAGGAGTATAGAGAAAACTCTCCCCAATTCTCCACCACCCAAACATTCAAGGAATGGGCCCCATAGAAAGCCAAAAGTGCACAAAAGAGTTGAAACTTGTAATTGTAGGGACCGAAACAGTTGGAGCATGAGCGTTGCCGGAGAGAACTCGAAGATCGCTGGAAAAAAACTTTCTAGGAACGATAACATTGTTACAAAACAAATGGATACCCATGGCAGACCCCAAAGGCACATCACACAAATTCTACCAAGGCCCAAAAGAAATAAGAAAAAGAGCAGAGGAAAAATGGAGATTAGAATGAATAGAACCAAAGATCCCAAATCTGCTCCATAGGCCTAGATCAAAATATCGTCTCTCAAATTTGTCCAAAGAACCTCTCCAACAAACATCGATATGAAGAGAAATAGATAAAAACTTGCATTCATGGATATGAGAGAAAAACCCTTACACAAAGTGTGAGAAAGAAAAAAATCACATCTATAGATATGAGAGAAAAACCCTCTTGCCAAAAGAGAGACCTTCACATAGAGAAAAACCCTCCTCCATAAAGAAAAACTCTCCCACCGAGAGAAAGACCCTCATACAAAGAAAAACCCTCCCACCATGAGATTATAAAATTGTGTACAACCAAAGGCAAAGTAAAAGCAGAAATCCAGTATTAAAAATAACAATGGAAATTATAAAATTAATTGTGTACAACCTCTTTTACATGAAACCCTAAACCTCAAAAATCACCTAAATCTCTCTACTTGCCTCTCAAGCCAAAAGATAAATACAAGATAAAACCCCAAACTACATAATTATTTTGGTCCATACCACATACGCTTCTACCACAAACCATTATACAAATTTGATTTAAATTTTTTCCAATAACAAAGAATTCAAGAGACAGAAATAGCAGAATCCATAAAAATCTTGAGATGAAATGGGTCTGCCGGCAGGGCTCATAATTGTCCTTACCAATCCTAGTGGAATTAATGGTTCTAATTCAAGATAATCATTCACTGAGAGGAGGGTGCGACCAAAAAGCCAGGGCCCATTGGGTGGTTGGTGTTGATCATTTTGACAGATGACACACCGAGAGGCATGATTCAGAACCAGAAATGATGAAACCTGGACTTTTGTGCTGCCATTTGTTTTTGGAACCTAGTACTACTCATTGAGGCCTGATCATTCCAATCCACAGCATTTTCTAGGTTTCTGAGCAAGAAATTAATTAAGGCCCCACCAATTGGAAAAAGTTGGCTGAATGGGTCATTCATTGATTGAAAATGGTCCAACTGATGGTTCATTTACTTACCCGGTAATAACAATCAAACCGTCAAAAACATGGGACCTAGTTCATGGACGGCCATGTCAATGGTTGAATTTGAACACACTATCATATGTAATTATTCTCACAAAGTCACAATCATCATAATCATAAATTAAGCATCTACAGATTGGAAACCATGGATGAGTAAAGATAAATTCCATGTAGGAGTAGGACTTATTCCTCTGGTCTTAGACTATCAGCATCAATCTGTAGAGATTATGTATTTGGAGCCCTCAATGTCAAAACCTATGAGACTAGACTTTATTCTTAGACTAATTTCTTTGTTTGGAGAAAATAAAGAAACCTGTTTCTGAAATCACTGCAATGAAATTTTGATGGTGAAATTAGAGATGTAAATCGGGTCGTAATTTTGGTTTGATACATGGCTTAATCTGGTCTAAGGTTTGGTTCATGAGCTAGCTCGGCCCGTGGCACAGCATAGCATGGCATAGGTCTGCATGGGCCTAGACCGTGGATTGTGTTATATCGACCTCCAAATTTTTTTACTGGAGAGGGTGATACGGTCCATTATAAACTGCAGACCAGCATGTTACAGCCCATACAAAATGTGGGCTTTGCCCATGGGCCGTGCCATGCCAGCCCGATACGGCTCACTTTATACCTCTAAGTGAAACCAAATATTATTTTATTTGTTGTGATACAGTAGTTTGAACTTTGAACAAAACCCCCAAACCATGCTTAATTATTAGTCGAAGCCATCAGAATGGGTAATGGGTAATGGGTTGAATGAAGATATATGGTAACATCCAAACACTTGTCTCTGGTAGTTGAAACCACAGGTGGTATTGCCTAAAGTAAATAGATGGTGAAGAAATTGGAGAGAGCTGGGCGGGCAATTGAGTGAAGGATTCAAAACCGCCCTTGGTTTTTCAGTCCTCCCATTGTCTGGCTGGATTCTGGAGAGGAAATGCTAAAAGTTTCCCCAAAGTTACTTCCTCCAAGATGAGGAGGGTTTAATGGGGACAAACAGCTCATTATCCAACCAGTACACAACAATTACACAAATAAAACAGGTGACTCCGACGTTGGAATTGGCTCCAAAACCATCAAACTCCCAACAACCCTCAACATCTCTTCCACTTTTCTTTTTCCTATCTACCTATAAATAACCAACCTCACCCAGTATTCAGCCTCATGCAGTGTGTCTAAGCTTCAACACTACTATCATCTCCCTCTCCCCAGCTCTCTTAACGCTTAATTGATTCAGTTTATTTCCTTACTCAAGTAGTGCATCCCCTTAAATATTCTCTCTCTCTCTCTCTCCATCATCAACATCTCAGAAATGGCGAGAAATGTGGCTCAGTCTCATCTGGAAAGAAATGGATTGGCTTCACTGGACCATAAACTCGCTTTGGCAAAGCGCTGTGGTCATGGTATTTCTTCTTTTCCCCTCTCTTTCTTCGACTTTATCGCAAATTCTATGATAGGATTTCAGAAAATACCTCATGGGTTCTGTAATCTCTTAAATTTGTAACTAATTTGTACATTTTTCTCGTTTCTTGACAACAGAGGGCGTCGTCGCCGGGGCAAAAGCGGCCGTTCTGGCCACCATTGCTTCCGCAGTTCCCACTGTAAGTCCTAATTTCTCATCGTCCATTTCTATATAAAGCACAATTATAAGAGACTGGAATCTCTGCACTTTATTAAATAGTTGACGGGGCATTATTATGATCGTTATCGACATGACAACTCTGTTTGGGGTTTACAAATGCAGTTAGCTAGTGTGAGGATGCTGCCTTGGGCTAGAGCTCACCTCAATCCCACTGCTCAGGCTCTCATCATCTCTACAGGTTATATAATTAATTCACCACTGGCCTCTTCCATCTCCTACTTCTTCTCCCTTCTCTTATCCTTCTCCATTGATAGTTTCTGTAGTTTTGCTAATGGAACTGTTTACTTTGATCACAGTGGCCGGTTCCGCATACTTCATAGTTGCAGACAAGACTGTTTTAGCCACTGCAAGGAGGAACTCATTCAAGGATTACTCTAACATCCAAGCTTAATTTCGAACCGTCGGCAGCCAGACGATGGAAAACTTGTTTTTTTCCCCTTTTTTTTGTCTCGTTATTGTATTTAAATCAGTAAATCCAGGATGTATACGTTACTTGGAAAAAAATGGCGATCGTTTTGTAGTAAATCCGCTGTGTATGATTTTGCCTTCAGCCAATCCAAACTCATAGAAGCAGCTTCTGCGTATAAAAGGACAAAAACTGTTCTCGACCCATGAGAATTAAGGTTTAGTGACTAGCTATAATCAGAGTGAAGAAAATCGCAATCAGAATGCAGATTATCATTATCTTCGAGAAATCTAGCAATTATCTTGCTCAAGGAACCAGAGTAAAGCTCTCCATTTACAAGATGGCTTATTTATCCATCATTATTTTTTGTTGGGAAATATTGTCTAAAACTCATCATGAGATGAGTTTCAGCATTTTTCTTAAATTTACCTCAATTTTTTAAAATGTCTAAAATTCACATGTCATTAATTTGAGGTTAAACAGATTAACGGGTGTTAATATATTATCATTTTAATTTTTATAGAAAAATATAAAATATATACAAAATAAATTAATGGGTGTTAATATATTATTATTTTAATATTTAGACATAAAAAAAGAAAAAAATCAAAAAATACTTTCAAATATAAAATATATAAAAACATAGAAAATACAAATAAAATAAAAAATTATTTTCAAATTATAGAAACTATAGAAATTGAAAATAAACAGAAAATAAAAATTGTAGAAAAAACATAAAAAATTATAAAAAACACAGAAATTACAAATAAATAATAAAAAATATAGGAAAATTTATAGATTGTAGACAATAGAAAATGTAAAAATAACAGAAATTATAAAAATATTAGAAATTATAACAAAATACTAAAAATGCAAAAAAAGAAAAGAAAAATTGATAATTGAAAAAGACCATTTTTCCTCTAATTCGTTATTTAAGGGTAATTTAATTATGAAAATTGTTATTTATGCTGACATGGACACTTCTATAAAGAAATATTAACCGTGCACTGATAGAAGGTGAGTTTTGAAAAATAAAAATTTACGTGAGTTTTAGACATTTTGAAAAATTATGAGTTCAAGAGAAATGCTGAATTTTAGACAATTTCCTTTTTTGTTTTATTCTCTTTGTTCAAATTCAAAATAAAAAAAAAAATATCTTCTAAATTAATGTAATATATCCACTAACATATAAATAAATTAGCATGCAATCTAATTCAAGGGTAAATAATACAAAATTTAAGATTTAAAATTATGGATTAACTGCAATGCTTCTTTTCTTCCAACAACATTAAAAAATTAAAAATAAAGGAGACAACCATATTGGCCTGAGCTACTTTTTAATTAAAATATTGAAATAGTTCCTCAAACCCATCTCTTCTTATTATTATTTTTTTTCCCATGAAAGCCCCAAACCCATCTACTCATCTATTGGATTCTATGAACGTAGACATAAAATACCCACAATAAACCAAGTTTTTAGAAGATAGATTTTAGAGTTTGGAACCATATACAGAGCCAGGCCATGTGTTAGAATATAAAACGGTAAATATAAACATTAAATTGGAGCTTGACCGACCTGACATTAGAAATTTTATTTCAGATTTTGGGTTTGTAGCCATACTAAACCCAATTCACTGAGAAGCTTCTTTACTTGGCCAGTTGTTGAGATGTATTGGACCGCATACCTGTCGGTTCTGATGACCTGGTTTTAATAACAATTAATACTCCATTGATCTTAACCAATTCCAAATGCTCCAGAAAAGAATAAGATAAAAGAAGAAGCTTATGAAATTTAATAAAACAAACGATTCTGGATGTTGAATGGGTAAATACCATGGAGGATATGCATGCTTCTGCAGGCTTTGGACTATCTATCATCATCAGGACCAAGGTCCTTTGTAACATGTCTAACTTCCATTCTTTAATATTAGAAACCAAATGAGTCATAACATTATAATTTGGGAATTCTTTATAAAATTATTATCTACTTGACTGTTCAAGTGGGTCAGGCATCTCCTAGCCCTTCTTGGTTTCTATATTAAATTTGGTATTTCTGTCAAGTGGGTCAGGTATCTCCTAGCCTTCTTCATCACAAAGCAAACGATGAAATCCATCAGTCTGGTTGTTTTGTGAACCCAGCCTTGGCTAATCAAGTTCAATACAAAACCGTTCTATGGATCTCATCAAAACCATGGGCAGTACAAGACAGATTATGAACTTTTTTTTATTAAAAACTCAAATGATTCAGGCTTTGCAGTCCCACATGCCCCACCCCACCTTGTTGGTATGCTTCACCCTCGACAATATTTTATATTTTATATGGCTTGACACCTATCAATCAATAATGAAGGCCTATGATGCATAAATGCTGCCAAATAGCATTCCTTAATTGGGCCCAAAACTCCTTAATTGGGCCAACCAGTTTGTGCAAAACAAGTTAGACCATTCTGCAAGGCCCAATTGTTTCCGGCCCCACCACCGTTTCAAACATAATCCAGTTTGAAACGAATAGGATTGTGTAGGATATAAGTAAGTATTAAAACGAATAACAAAGTGGCAACCAAGAAGTAAGAACAATGAATTAAAATTGCATTACAACATAAAGGGATGTTTTTGATTTCTAAGAAAATTATTAAAATTGAAAACATTCCTTTACTAGGGAAATGACCTACACAATTGTGGTACAACCAGATAGGGTCTCTCGCAGGCTTATCCCTAATTTCCTTAAACCAGGGAAGGGAGCTCCAATCAGGTAAGACCACCATCTGAGTGTTATCTTGAGATCAATCCAACAAACATGGACTCGTTAGTAACCAAACAAACAAATAGACAGATAGCTTAAATGTTGATTTTGAGATTGGGAGACGTGAGTGAGACGGCTAGCTAGCGCTTGCGTGTCCATGTCCCATGTGGTCTCAACTCAAGTCACAACTGATGAAACCTTCGTCACCTCCAAGGCAGGGCTCTCTCACAAATGTTGTCGATTCACTGAATCTGCCCAACAAACAAAAGAAATTGATGAAATCCAGACAAGTTCAAATCAATGGCAGCAAACCAGTTACCAGATAAACATCAAGTTTGCTTTATGGTTGGGATTCATCATTGGGTAAGATAAAGATTATGAACTGAACAATTGGATTAATGCATTAATTACAACTATGTTTATCAGATTGGTAAATTCAGCTAATCAAAGCAGGAATATAATCGATGTCCAGAATTGAACCAAATGATCAATACACTAGTACAGTCAGTTGGCAGTTGGCACCTGGCAAAAATGATCACATATGCGAGATTTGGCCCATGCAGGTCTCGAACCTGCGACCTTCGCGTTATTAGCACGACGCTCTAACCAACTGAGCTAATAGGCCATCACACCAAACCATTACTCTGGTCTCTCGAAAAGACAACGGGCTACTGGGAAAGGAGCCCACCACTGATGATGATTAACGAGTTGATACAAAACAATAAACTCCGACGTTGGATTCCAACCAAAACCATCAAACCCCACTGCAATCCACTCTGCTCCTCCACTGTCCCACACCATTCTCCCTCTCCCACTTGTATAAATAACCCAACTCACCTCACCACTTCATCAAGCGACTGAGCTTCAATTCAACCACACTTGGATCTTTTATACTCTTCCTTGCTCTCCACTCTCTCCAATTCAAATTTTAATACCCCACCACACCAACTTTCTTCTGTTGTCATATCTATAATGGCGAAAAAGGTAGCACAGTACCCTCTGGAGAAAAATGGGTTGGCTTCATTGGACCAGAAACTCTCCTTGGCCAAGCGATGTGGTCATGGTACTGCATCATCTTTTCCTCTCTTTGCTTTATTTTAGAAAATGCTACTACTTGCTTCCATTGTTCATCATTAATCAACTAGTAACTGGGTTGTCTTGTTCTGCAATAACAGAGGGCGTTGTCGCCGGGGCAAAGGCGGCAGTTCTGGCCACCATTGCTTCTGCCATTCCTACTGTAAGTCCTCCACTTTATCTACCTCTGGTTTCTATACTGAAATTGAAAATTGCATTATTGAATCTTGACTCCATCGCTCTGTGGCTCTGTGGCTCTGTCTCTTCATACATGTATATACARTTAGCCAGTGTTAGAATGTTTCCCTGGGCTAGAGCTAACCTCAATCCAACTGCTCAGGCTCTCATCATCTCTACAGGTTCTTCACCRTCTCTTCCTCTTCTTTTGTCAATCGTACGTCATTGACGATAATTCTTCTTTTTCTATATAAGAGTTAATGTAATTTGTTGATGATTTGATTGCAGTGGCTGGTTCCGCATACTTCATAGTCGCAGACAAGACTGTTTTGGCCACTGCAAGGAGAAACTCCTTCAAGGATTGCACTAACATCCAAGCTTAATTTCCAGTCCCCCCACGTTTTCCATTTATTTTGCTTTTCTGTTTTCTGTAAACTTTGTTGCTCCAAAACCTATGTATACTGTAAAATAGCTGATTTTTCAAATCTTCCCATAAATAAAGTTGGAACCAGCTGAAGAAGCTTTAATGAAGGATGGCCCATTTGAGGAAAAAGTATGCGAAGTGGTTAAAATGTCTCCACACACAAAATTTGGACCAGAGGGGTATAATCCACTTTTTTAGGAACAAGAAAATGTTTAAGGAACTTAATTGTAAAAATTTATGTTCAAGTCCTAAGAGAAATGGGATTAGCTGGAGGATGGTGTAAAATGGTGGAAGAGTGCATCAACACCACTTCTTTTTCAATTAAATTAAATGGAACACAAAAAGAATTCTTCAAGCTTCAGAGGGGGATTAGGTAGGTAGATGCACTGTTTCCCTATCTATTTACAATGGGAATGCAAATCCTATCTAGTATACTGCAAAAAAGCTGAAATGAGGGAGAAAATTTAGTGAAAGAGAGTTTAGCAGTATATCATCTGCTATTTGTAGGTGATATCATGAAATTTTGCAAGGCAGAGAAGAAACAGATAGTGGAGATGAAGACCATTCTTGAGCAATTCATTGAAGTGTTCGACAAAAAATAAACTGGAGTAAATCAGGGATATTCTTCTTCATCTCTAATGTACATAGTATAGTTTGAAGATTTCTGATGGGACTATTGGAAGTGAAAGAAATTAAATGTCCATGAAGGATACATATTTGGGATCAAGATTGTGGGTTGGCAGAAGAAAGTATGAAGCTTTTGAGGACCAAGTGAAGAGAATGCAAAGCTAGTTGGCCTCATGGAAGTCCAAGATTCTAAGGCCCGGGGGGTGGGGGGACAATTTTGATAAAGTCAGTGGCCCAAGCCATCCCAATATATGCTATTGAACACTATTCTACTGCCAAGAAGTAAGTACTCCAAGTCCAAACCCAATCCAAAGGGAATGGAGCAAACACAAAAATAATATTTTGGAGGGATAGTACTCAAATAATCAAGAAAGATTCAAACCATTAAATGGGGAAAATGTTGCAGAAATAAGAAAAATGGAGGCCTAAGGTTTAGAAATGGACTTTTGTGCTGCCATTTGGGTTTCGTACCTAGTAGTAGTACTACTCATTGAGGTAGGCGTGATCAATCCAACCCCCATCATTCTCTGGGTTTCTGCACAGACAGGGCCCTCCCAATAAAAAAAAAAAGAAAAAGAAAAAAAGTTGGCTGGGTCATGGACTGAAAGTGGTCCAACCAATGGATTTACTTACCTGGTAATATGATCAAACCGTCAAAAATCTGGGACCCTGTTCATGGAAGGCCAGGTCAATAGGTTCAATTGAAAACACTGCTATTTAATTACTCTCACAATCATAATAATTATAAATTAAACATCAGGAGATTGGAAACCTGGAATGGGTAAATGGTAAGTAACAGTGGTGGTTTTATTAATGATAAATTCCAAGTAGGAGTAGGACATATTCTTCTGGTCGATCAAATCCTATGAGACCAGGGCCTTAGATTATTCCGATTTCCATCAACAAAACTTGATTATTCATTTTCTTTCATTGGGGGGAAAAGAAAACGATTTCTAAAATCACTACAAACGATGAAACCAAATGTTGTTTGTTTGTTTGAACAAAACCCATTTGTCTCTGGGATAGATAAAAAATGGTACACCCAACAAAATGGGTAATAGATAAAAAATGGTACACCCAACACATGTCTCTGGCATTTGAAACAAGGTGGTATTGCCTAGAGACAAAAATCAATCGGAAAGTTCAGTGAAGGAATCAAAACCGCCCCTTGGTTTTTAGTCCCTCCCATGGTCTGGCTGCTGGATTCTGGAGAGAAAAAGCAAAAGGTTTCCCCAGGTAGAGGGTATATATAATAGGGACAACACCACATAATCCAAACTAACTTATAGCCGACCATCAGTCCATAACAATTAGGCAAATAAAACAAGTGACTCCGACGTTGGAATTGGCCCCCAAAACCATCAAATTCCCAACAACCCTCACCACCATTTCTTCCATAAATAACCAACCTCACCCCTCAGCTTCATGCAGTGTGTCTGAGCTTCTACATCACTATCATTTGTCTCTCTCCCCATCTCTCTGAAGCTGAACTGTGAATTGATTGAGTTTATTTCCTTACTCAACTAGTGCATCCCCTTAATTCTATCTTTCTTCATCATCAACATCTCAGAAATGGCGAGAAATGTGTCTCATTCTCATCTGGAAATAAATGGGTTGGTTTCAGTGGACCAAAAACTCGCTTTGGCAAAGCGCTGTGGCCATGGTATTTGTTCCCTTCCCGTCTTTTTCTTCGACTAAAAATTAGATTGTATCATAAAATTTATACCTCATGGGTTTCGTATTTAATTTGGTTTTCTCGTTATGTGACAACAGAGGGCGTCGTCGCCGGGGCGAAAGCGGCCGTTTTGGCCACCTTTGCTTCCGCAGTTCCTACTGTAAGTCCTAATTTCTCATCGTCGATTTCTATTATAACACAATTACAAGAGACCGGAATACTCTTACTCTCTACCTCTGCACTTTATTAAATAGTTGAAGGGGCATTATTATGATCATTATCGACAATGACAACTCCGTTTGGGGTTTACAAATGCAGTTAGCTAGTGTGAGGATGCTGCCTTGGGCTAGAGCTCACCTCAATCCCACTGCTCAGGCTCTCATCATCTCTACAGGTTATTTTATTCACCAGCTCACCCCCCTCTTATTCTTCTCCATTGATGATTTCTGTTCGCTAATGGAACTCTTTACTTTGATAACAGTGGCCGGTTCCACATACTTTATAGTTGCAGACAAGACTGTCTTGGCTACCGCAAGGAGGAACTCATTCAAGGATTTCTCTAACGTCCAAACCTAATTTCGAACTGTCGCCGGCCAGATGGAAACTGTGTTTTTCCCTGTTTTTTTATATTTTTTTTTTGGTGTATCGTATCGTTGTATGTAAACCGGTAAATCCAGGATGTATACGTTACTTGGGAAAAAAAATGGCAACCGTTTTCCATTTCGGCATTTCCTTGGTTTCATTGACTTCACATTTGCTCCTTTGTTGATGATAAGAAGCAGCTTCTGCGTATAAAAAGATGAAAACTGGCCTAGACCCCATGAGAAATAAGATTAAGCTGTAGTTGGGACGCAGTTGATCATCATTTTTAAGAAATAATAATCAACCTGTTTGGGAAATCCAGCAATATTCTTTCTCCATGGGCTAGGATTACATGGTTACCTTCATGGTTTGGTTAAGAAAATGCCATGTATCTGGAACTGGTTTAGTATCTTAGTTTTCAACTGTGTAAGATCCTGCTTCTCATAAATCAAAAAAAAAAAAAGGAAACAGTAGAGTAACGCAGAGTCCCAAAAATGACATGGGTAGAAATCTCTCATCAAGCTAGTATTTGGTAGTTCTACAATGAAGGAGGCACCTGAGAGAACAAGTCTGGTCTAACAGATCACTATTCAGAACTAATATGTACAGCAGATTACAAATCCAATCTGAATTTAACATGTCAGTGATCGATACTGTTATGAAATGTATCAGCACCTTACTCTGATTCATTATCGTTTACAGCAAATAAAACAACACTCCAACGACTCACAAACACCTAGCCAGAAATACAAATGGAAGTCCAAACATAGGTAGAGATCAATGTCCCTGTGGCTATTAATCTATTATATTAACCGTCGAATTACTGTCTATAAGAAACTTGCAGTCAGACTCAAAGATAACAGCACCCAGGTCAAAGGAAATGGCTAAACTTTACTGCCTCAAGAAGGGCTTTGGCTTCAGCTATTAGGAAAGACAGAGCCTGCACAGGACCACATTCGGCTAGGAACTTAGGAAGTGAACACCTGCTGAATCTCTAAAGTACACCCAAAAGGTGCCATATTTACACTTGTGAAACCACCATCCACATTTGCTTTGAAGAAACCATTTCTCGCTGGAGAGAAAAGAATTGATAGCTGGATTGCTTTCAGCTTTTAAACAATTTTCTGATCTCAAAGGCAAGATCTGAGTCTCCCTACTATAGACCTGCGAGTGAAAGGGATCAGTATCTTCATTCTCAAAATAAAAAGCATTGCAGTCCTTCCAGATCTCCCACAAACAAACACCACATTTAGCTAATATATCAACATTAACTCTGCCCAAATTCTTCAACAGCTGCATAAACCAACTGCCAAATTGGTAATTCTTGCAAGGAAAATCTGGTCTAATGCCAATACCAGAGCCAACCCAAATGCACTTAGCTTTGTCACATTGCACCAAAGCATGTAAAATGGATTCATTGCATGAATTACATCGATCAGGAGATTGGGTAATTAACTTTTCAAGGTAGAGGTTTTCTTTTAACTACAATGATGTTGAGACAACATTTCCAAAGAAAAATTTTTAATCTTTGACCCATTTTTTGTCTAATGTTTAAGGATCAAGAACATGGATAATAGTAGAAACCCCAACTTTTGTAAATCCTCAAATAAAGCTTTATTCTTGATCTTTATATTTTATAAAGCTCACAGTATTCATTCAGATAGAATTGATTGATTTTTATATTTTTCTGTTTTTTGTTGTTGTTGTGTTTTTTTATTCTTTTTCTGATATGAGAATTTTTGAACGACAACAAAAAAAAAAAAGAATTCATGTTTGAAGAACACCCTCTTAAAGGTTGTAGCAATGATCCGAATAAGTACTAAACAAACCAGTAATCACATGGGTAGAGATCAGAAAGTCCTTTAATCAGGATGGTTTTTTTACTGAAGTACAACATTCAAAGTGGAACCAATTCAAAAGTTCGACATCTTCTGAGTGAATCTCTCCACTTCCAACATGACTTATCTTATTTATCATTACTTTCTTGCTTCTTCTAATTCATGGTAAATAATACAAAATTTAAAATATAGAATTATGGATTAATTGCACTACTTTTCTTCAAGCAGAACTAGTTATAATACTATCATAATTAGATGATAAGCTAGTGGTATTTATTATACCATTTACCAGAAGAAAAGTTGAAATTCCAAACTAATCCTTGAAAATTACAAAAAAAAGGAGACAGTCAGCATTGCTCTGAACTACCTTTTGGTTAAAATATTGAGATACTTCCCCAAACCCATCTACTCTGTTTTTTTAAAGCCCAGAACCCATTATTCATCTATTTGATTCTAAGAACCTAGACATAAATCAGGTGTTTAGATGACAGATTTAGGAGCTTGGAAGTTGGAACATTATTTAGAGCCCAACCTCGTATTATTTGGAACTCTGTGTTTTGTTGGAATAAATTAAGTTGCATCCAATACTAATCAACAATGTTCAGATGTTGGGTTTGTTGCCCCAGCTCACTAATAGCCCAATTCAGTGAGAAGCTTGTTTGGTTGGCCACCTGTTCAGATGTGTTGGACCTCGGACTTGTCGGTTCTGACTCTGACCGGGTTAACTTTTAATTCTTGTATTCGTTTCGGCTTCTAATAACAATATTTAATTAATATACACTATTGATCTGAACCACATGCTTACTCCTGAAAAGAATACAAAAAGGAAGAAGGTTATGAAATTCGGAGGTAAGACCAAAGTAGGTATGGCTTGAGCTCCAGAAGTCGTCGTCGCAAATTTACGAACTGGAGGAAATTGGCTATGGACGACGTTGAATGGGTAAATATATGATACGCATGTTTCTCTGCTGATGACCTACCTAGCTTGGACTATCACCATCATTTAATTTGTTACATAATTTGGTCCAAGGCTGACCAAGCTTCAAATGATCAGTCATAACATTTCTATTTGGAAACTTCTAACTATTTCACTGTTCAACTGATTTTTCTTTTCATTAATGATCTCTCTTCGGCTATGTTTGGTTTGAAGGAAAAGGTAGAAAAAAGAAATTGTATAGGTTTCTTTAACTTTCCCTACTTTTTCCTTCAAATCAAACACAGCCTTCGTTTCTAACTTTGCTACCAGCTAGCAGCCAATTAAACATTTTAATTAAGAGAAAATTTATAATACCGAAAAGATATAGTACCCAAAGAGCTTTGACCAATTAAAATATCCCTATGAATTGTTTCAGGTTTGACCAATTAAGAGAAAATTACTTCAGGTGTGAAGAGTTGAATCATACCTATCTCTGAAAAGAACCCTGATCTCCTGCCAACGAAATGTGTTCCAACACCCTAGCAATATAATCTGATACCACACATCTTATACATGGCGGGACTCCTCTGAGAAGGGTAGTAGCAATTAAACATGGCATTTTGTCCTACATTCAGTGAATTCGAAAATCAATATGTACTATATGATCCAAATAAGAAATTGGTATACTTGAAATTCTGGATCCAAATTGTTCTTTGGATCACAAAGCGGCCGGACGATTAAATCCATTAGAACTCTCTCAACTCTGGTACAAGTTGAATGCAAATAGGATCTATGGATGGATCCATCAAAACCATGAGCAGTGCAAGACCGTTTATAAACTTTATATTAAAAGCAAAAATGATTCACATTCAGACTTTACATACTGTCCAATATGTAAAGTCCATATCACTCCTATCATACACAAAATTTATAAAGCCCAATACCTTGGGCCAACCAATTTGTGCAATAAAGACAAATCATTACGTAAGGCCCAATAGTTTCTGGCCCCACCAATCTACCATTCCATCCTTTCAAACACTATCCAATTTGAAGCCCAATAGGTCTATAGAATAGAATCACATCCTTACTCCTTAGTCCTTTTTTTAAGGTTGAAGAACCTAAAATATTCACAAAAAAAAAAAAAAAAAACTGAAATAGGATCTTAAAAAATAATGTCAGTAGGTTATATATGTAGAAATTACATAATGTGACTATCAAAATTAAACAGAAAAAAAAGGGAAGAATTTTCAACAATAATAGTAAGCTGATTAAACCAGGAAATTCAGAATTTAGAGTCATAAATAAACATTAAAAACGAATAACAAAGTGGAAAAACCAAGAAGCAAGATCACATTCTCACAACTTCAAGTGGTATCTTGAAACAACCAAAATACAAGATTGCCCCCACAACATCCCACAGCACATCTTCACTATGTATTGAGAATATCTCTGGATGATGATATAATCATTAGAAGATGCTCACGATACACAGCGGGGATATGTGTGGGACGTTGTAGGGGCTGATTTGAACTCAAAATTAAACAAACGGTTCAAATGCTAGTGATCTGAAATTTGAATCGGGAGACGCCTAGCGTTTTCCTGTGGTCCCACTGACTCTAACAAATCACAAATGTTGTCGATTCACTGAACCTCCCAAGACCCAACAATTAATTAAACAATGAAAGTACATACACTAACCTAAACCCAGACAACTTCAAATCAATGGGAGTAAACCAGATAAACATCCAATTTGCTTTACATTTTACATCTGGGACGGGGGTTTATCATGAAATAAGATTATGAACTGAACAAGTTGGATTAGTGCATTAATTACAATTAAGTTTATGAAAGGCTTGAAATAAATCTTCAAGATTGAACCAAATGGTCAATATCTAGTACAGAAGAAATCCGAATAAATAGAACCGCCCTCAATTTGGTGGATTTTTAACATCTCCTGCCCCTGTGATTAAAGCAGTGGATCCCACCACTACCACCGGTGATGATTAACGAACGGAAACAAAACAACAAACTCCGACGTTGGATTCCATCCAAAACCATCAAACCCCAACTTGTATAAATTAAATAGCCCGACTCACCTCGATCTCCACTTCATCAAGCGGCTAAGCTTCAATTCAATAACACTTGGATCTTTTATTCTATATTTTTCCCAAGACTCTTTCTTGTTGTCATATCTATAATGGCGAAAAAGGTAGCACAGTACTCCCTGGAGAAAAATGGGTTGGCTTCATTGGACCAGAAACTCTCCTTGGCCAAGCGATGTGGTCATGGTACTGCATCATCTTCTCCTCTCTTTGCTTTATTTTAGAAAATGCTACTACTTGCATCCATTGTTCATCATTAATCAACTAGTAACTGGGTTGTCTTGTTCTGCAATAACAGAGGGCGTTGTCGCCGGGGCAAAGGCGGCAGTTCTGGCCA